GGTCCCTTGTTCTACGTGTCTTTCTCTGATTGGCTTATCATATACTATATAAATAGGAGTCCCCCAAGTTTTCGATTAAAAAGGACTTCTTGGTTGGGGACTTGTTCTCGTCTTTGGCATTTTGACCGGCTGATATTTGCCATGAGGATGGTGAACCAAACTCATCTGGTTGCCAATGGCTCTATCCTAGTCCCCCAAGTCGCCAAAGAAGAAGTCCTTGTATAGGAAAGGGCTTAGGGCTTAGGGCAATAGTGCCTAACAGTAAAAGTGATAGGCCAAACGGCATCGTGTAACTGGGCCTGACCTAGGGCAATAGAGGTGTTTTGCCGAACGGTATGGTGATGTGATTGTCAAATGATGCTAGATGTTGGCCGCACATAGTGTGCCTATGGGGGCATAACATGACGCTTAGTCTTATATGCCTAGTGTGCTAGTTATCCCGAATCACCATGGGCCACTTGTCTAGAGCCCCATGCTGCAGGTGTAGTAATGATAGCGTCTGTTGGTGTAACTGAGGTGAGTCCTTTGGATCTTCCGTATAAAAGGAGGTGGCTCCTGTTTGAAAAAATCACTTGGCATTTAAGAGCGATTTTTGAGCTGCAAGAAAGGCATTTTTCGATGACTAGTTAGCCGAAGGAAATGAGATTTCTGGTGGCTAAGCATACGACAGAGCAATTTCCTCTTCCATGAAAACAAAAGGCCCATTTTTTATTTAATCTTTATCAATCAAACGTGTTTTTTTGGCTTGAAATGAACAACAAATCATGGACGAACATGAAGAGCAATCAGTAGGGCATATTCATAAGTGGCAATGGTTGTAGGAAACCTTAGTTTGATCTTGCATTGCATTTAGTTTCCTTTTCATTTTTTTTTTTTTGTAGATGCCAGAGAGAAGGGGCCATTGTTTGGAGTTGATTATTTAGATCCAAATAAGGTTATGGAAAAAGAGCTAATGAAATACTGTGTCATATACCGAATACCGAATTCAGTAAAATGGCAGATGTATGGACCTATCGAATCTCTAAGTACCGTTGCAACCTGTGGTACAAAGGATTCTGGCCCAAATCAGCTATACCCCTAGGCAGTACAATCTGAATTTTTGGATAGCCTTATTAGGGATGATAACTGCTTTCGGCCTTGCCGTAGATGGGGAGCCTACTTATGAACAGTTTTCATACCTTTATAGAGTGTCGAGAGCTAAATGCAAAAGGCATGGGGGCTGGGTGCAAGCAAATTGTCTGTAGGCAAAGGTTCGATGGCATTTTGTGAAGGTTGTACTGACTTCACAGAAGTCATGGAGGAACCGACGGGTAATTATCTCAAGTGATTGGGAATCAGAGAATAACAAGCCTGTTTGGTTCCATATCCCCACGACCTTTCAGACGATCAGTAGGTTATAACTATACAGTTTGATAGGTCCATAAGATTTGACTTGTTATGGCCGTGTTTTTACCGATGATGACATGACTTGTTGTTTAGTTCGAGATAGACTAAAGTAATTGATTAGCACAAAAAAAGACATCCATAATTGAGCCTGTGAGAAGAGCCATATCAACTACCGATCTCTTGTATCTCGATCTGCTATGTACTCAGAATTTAGTGGTGGTCAAGCTTGTTGGAGAAGAGGAAAGTAAGTTCATCTGTTGTTCCATTCAATAATTTGCGAAAATTGTTCTTGTTTTATTTTGACTGAATGTTCTCTGTCGATGCTGTAGTAACAAGTGCAAGGGAAATGTCTTAGTCCTCCAAACAGCGGCTGATGATGGGGAATCAAGTCCTACAATAGCAGCGGCAGCCCAGGGCCGGGGGGGTCTTTGCAGAAAACCTTGGTTAAGAAATCTGAGTCAACTTTGGACAACAAGACCGTCTTCAGCAAAGGCAGGCTGAAGAGGTGGAAGTCAACTGAGAGGCCTATCAGCAAGTTACAACTAAACTGCAGAATCTATGTCAATAGATTTTGATCCGAATTCGATGTAATAGAAGATGGATTGGACTTCTCAATCCGATAATCCGAATCAGATAATCTGATTATAAATGGATCCGGATATGGATTATAGTTGATCTGATTTGATAATAATATGATTCAACTTAGTATCAAGTATTTAGTTTTTCTATGCTTTATTTTAATATTTTATATGCGAAAATGAGTAATTTTAGTTTTTTATGCACTAAAAATACACTTAAAACTAAATTTTATGATAAAATATTAAAAATTGATATAAAAAGTAGTGTTTGGGTCATTTTACTAAGAGCTATAATGGGCTTGTTGGACTACTGCGAAGTAGATCAGGCTCTCTTGCGCCCATGTCTCAATTTACGGCACCAAGCCTCAAAACACACCGAAAGAGTTGAAGCCTTAAGGAGTGTTTTGGTCTCCTTCAGTGGCTCTTCAATACATTGCAAGTTTTAATGAGAAGGATACAACAATTGTTGTAAGGACATTGCTTGATGATAGAGTTGAGCAGGCGCTGAAAGAGCTTTGCTTGAGACACAATGGGACAGGTGCTGGAACAAATATTCCAGTAGCTGCTACTTGTTTGGATGGGCTTCTTACGGCTATGGAAAGAGTTGGAGATGGTGCATTGATGTTGTACATGCTTTGCATGAGAGCTTGCTTTGGTGAATCAAGATATGGCTAGGCTTAACATGAAAGACTTGTGGTTTGGGAACTAAGATCCTATAAGTTTAGCAAGAGATAGAGAGAGTTGGAAAGGGAAAAGCTTAGAATTATAGCTATACTATATCTTAGCATGAAAGTTTAATTTTGATGCTTGAATATTAGGATGGTGATTTGTAGAAATGCTTGAGTGATGTTTAGGGCTTGGCAGGGTGTTCTAAGACAAAAGGAGCAAAATGGAAGGATTAAAGCTTGTGATTCTGGGTGTTTTTGGCAGCTAAAAGATGGGCTTGGCATGCGTTTTCTCACCAAGAATGTGACAACCATGATTTGTTTGGCTCGGGAAGATAGGTGTTTCAAATCTGGAATAGGCCTTTTGTGAGAGAGAGAGAAAGAAAGAAAGAATGAATGAATGAGAATATGGAAGAACAAGAGCTTGAATCTAGTGCTTCCAACAATGGAAGAGTATGCTTGCTCTTGCTTGGGTTTTTTAAGATAAAGGAGAAGAAGATGGAAGGGAAGGTACTTGGGCTTGATGTTTCCAACAATTAGATAATAAGCTCGCTTGACTGCTCTAGTTCAGTTGAGTCCCCCTCGCTGGGTAGCCCATGACCTCCTTTTATTGGCGTTGGAACTCTTCTTTACCTCAAAAACCCTAAATGGTTTATTCTCAATTGGCTAAGTCTTCTCATTTCTTTCCCTTCACTTTCTCCAATATGGCCTTAATAAGTGAAATTTCCATAAAATCAGTTGAATCCATGGCTATTGAGACAAAACATTTTGGTGTCCCAAAACCTTCCTGCAGCTGGACCTTGCAAAGGCTTCCTTTCCAGGCAAAACTCCAGCTTGGCTTTCCTTTCTCTTTTCCTGTTTGAGCTCATAGAGGTAAAAAAGGGTAAAGTTGATGGTCAAACAGAAAAGTTAAGGCTTATCTCTTTCATCAGCCTAGATATTTATGTAAATTGGATTTTAAGGCTTTCAATTTGAATTGGGCAAGGCTGGTTCGATCTCTAGGGAAAGGGTGCTAGAATTTCTCTCTTACTTACCCATGTGTTGGGCTTACAAAAGTTCGGTGCTCCCAAGCAACCCAAACCCTCCACCTTTTGAACCCTCAATAGGCCTTATGGACCTCCGTACCTATCCACACCACAACCTGCTCAGTAAGCCCCAGACACGTATATGGCTTGAGCCACTTAAGTTTGTCAGGTGGTTTGGCACTAAGGGGAGTCATTTGGCATGGCATGTCACTGCGTTAGATAATGCTTGACTAAGCAGTGGGCTAGGTGAGCTCGAGCATGTGGCATCGTTAAACTTTACATGTTGGCATGTGAAATTGGTAAACCTATATCATGAACCTCCCCATGTGCCAAATTGTAGTCTCGCTTGGCATGGCCCTAATATCAAAGCTTGTTTAGGCACTTCGTAGCTATATTTGATGGGCCTCCGCATCCCTTAGCATGATAATGAATTGGACCTAAAAATATGCACGGATCTTTCTTGAGATTTTTTTAGGCCTCAATAAGTAGATAAATACAATAAAAGAATGAGGCTACTAATGAAATTTTGATTTTTTTTTTTTGTACATCACAAAATAAATCCAATAATAATTTGATCCGATCTGAATCTGATGCGTGTCAGATATGGATTGATAGGTACAATCCGATAATCCGATTATAAATGGATTCGAATTTGGATTGAAGTATATCTTATCTGAATCCGGCCCGTTTATAGATCTAAGAATGGGCAAAAGGCCCAACAACACACATAACCCATGGTGTCAAATTTGGACCTGTATTGCCATTTTTGTGTCATAGGGCCTTTCTGTTTATAGTAAAATTGAGAATGTCAGTTTTGGGCCTCGAAATTTAGGCCAATTCACCTTAAGAAAGCAAGCATCCCAAACTCGACACCAAGACGGAAAATTCCCCATCACAACACGGGACTATAAGTTCGGTCGATGAGGAGAAGGCAAATTGTCAAATTGCGATGGAAGAGGAGAAACAGAAATCTAGCCTAATTTCTAAATTAAGGTTAGGGTTAGGGGCGTGATTGAAAGCTGACATAGGACAGACGAGGAAGAAGAAAGGGCGAAAAAGACAAAAGACAAAATAGATTATAAACCATTCTGTAAAAATTTCTAAATTGAGTAGTAGGAGATTTCTAGAACTGAAATTGAAGATAGGAAACAATTGGAAAATAGGAAAATAAAGAATTAGAATTGAAGATAGATGGTGAGAATGTGCCCAAGCCAATTAAGACATGGCACCAACCTGGACTCATTGCTAAAATCTTGGGACACATCCTCACAAAAAAGCTTTAGCTATGAAAAGCCAATGCCAATTCAGTCTCAGGCAATGCCTATAAATGATGAGCGGTAGAGAAACTGCGTTGGCATTGGCATTGGCAAAACTGGCTCAGGCAAGACCCTTTTATAAGATGAAGAAGATAGATGGAGAGCAGCATAGAAGACATCAAAAATCCGACATGAACATGACTTCCTGGTGGAGCTCAGCAAGGCAGATATCATGTTATCAAGTTATGTGTCTGAGAACTTGTTTCCAACTTTGTGCTCAACTTAATCTGACCCTCTTAGTTCCTGGGTATTGAATGATTCTAGTTAACTTATATTTTGTCTTTTTGATCTTTTTGTCTTCTTTTTTACACAAACAATACTGAGAGAGGGGTTATTTGAGTATTCAAATACTCTATGTATTTGAACACTTGACTTCAGGTGCAGGGGTAACTGTTCTTAATCACTTGAGCTTTGAACTTCAATCCTCAACTTGCATGAGAACCTATTTTGTTTTTAATCATGGATTAAGCTTGATTTATAATTGTCATTTAGGAAGTCATTTTATTTTGACTACATTAATTGGATTCATTTTTATTACTGTGTGAATTGTTATGAATTTGTCTTGCTTTGCACTTTGCACAATGTTCTGCCCCCTTTTGATCTTCTTTTCTTTCTTTGTTTATCATTTCCACTGGGGGAGATGTTATTGGGCCTATGCTCATTGCAAAGCTGTCCAAGCGATGTGCTTCAGCTATGTTGTTCAACAGAACAAAATCTAATAATGGTAATTATTTTCAATTTCTCATACGATTAATAGTTGGCATGACATGAGTGAGAGCTTGCTTTAAATTGAGCTCATCACAGACATTAAATCTTGCAGAATGCAGAGCTCAGTATGGAGAGCGTTCTCCACCCCCATCAGCTGCTAGCTTTTGGTGTGCCAATGCAAATATTTTGCACAGGTGAATAATGGCACATATCCAAATTCATTTTTCCTTTTAACTAAATTCTTCCTACAACACTTTTTTTTTTTTTCTTCTTCAAATAACCTTCTTCTTCCAGATCTCATTCGGCAAACCATAGCTACCATTTCTATAATGAAGGAAGGAAACAGATAACTATAACATTTGTGAGTTTCATATACTCTCTTCTCTTCATTAAAGAACCAACAGAAACAGATGTCCTTCTAATAGCCGAACCAAATTGAAAAGTGTAAAGCCAAAACTAAGAGTCAAATAACAAATAGGAAAGACAAAGAGTAAATCTAAACAAAGCAAGGAAACAAAATCAAGTTCTCTTGTCATCTCTGGGCGGACTATGATGTGAAGGACATCTCATTGGAAGAATTTGAATATGGCATCTCATCAGCGGCAAAGCCAGGAGATAAGATATCCTCAGTTTGTAGTTTGGGAGCTACAGCCAGATAAAAAAGCAATACAAAAAAATGAGTAGTTTGGGAGGCCCAGTGGTCGTTGTGTCTAGCTTTCTGTGTCTGTTTGTTCTCTTAGCTCTCATCAAGGCCTTTCACAAAGTATGGTGGACTCCGAGGCGTATACAAAATCTGATGGCTTTACAGGGAATCAAAGGGCCTTCTTACAGACTTATCCATGGAAACACCAAAGAAATCTTCAACATGAAAATGGAAACTATGGGCAGTCCCAGAAATTTATCAGATGACGTGTTATCTGCAGTTCAACCTCATATTCGTTCATGGACCAAGATATATGGTATTTACATGCTCTTCATTAATATGGCTTCCAAAGCTTAGTTGCAAAACAAATTTGGTCATTTTTTATGCAATTACAGGGAAGAATTATCTTCAGTGGCATGGTTCTCAAGCTCAGTTGGTCATAACGGAACCCGAGTTGTGCAAAGAGATACTAAGTAACAAGGATGGAGCTTATCCGAAAAGAGAGCCCGAAGGCTATGTCAAGAAGCTAGTAGGAGATAGTATGGGGACAACAAACCAAGCTGACAAATGGTCAAAAGTGAGAAAGCTGGCCAACCATGCCTTCCATGGAGAGAGCTTAAAAGTAAGTTCATACAGTTACTGTTAACTATTTCAAAGAGTTCTATAATATGAACGTGAAACTAAGAAAATATCATAAATTGAAGATAAATTTTCTAATAACAAGATGGTATTGTTTTACTAGAGTATGATCCCGGCAATGATAGCTAGTGCTGAGACAATGCTAGATGGGTGGAAAAATCATGAAGGAAAAGAGATTGAGGTTTATGAACAGTTTAGGTTGTTCACTTCAGAAGTGATTTCCAGGACAGCATTTAGCAGCAGCTACTTAGAAGGGAAGAGTTTTTTTGACAATTTGATGAAGTTATCCTTCTTATTAGTCAAAAATTCTTTCAACGTCAGATTTCCCGGCATCAGGTATCTTGCTTTTATCTGAATTAATCTCAAATTGGGGAATAATCATATGAACCATCAATTGACCCAAAAAAAAAATCATATGAACCACATCAGCTTTATCTATGTTCATTCCAACTTGAAAGAAGGTTCTGAATAATGGATCTTTCTTAATTAGTTGTTGAATCGCTCTTTGATTGATCAAAGTATGAAATTCTGAACCTTCATTACTGATGGAATACAACTTATCTGTAGACCAATCAGATGACTATTTCCATTGGCTAGAGCCCAGTACTTGATTACTTAGGAGTAGTGCGAGATGAAAGTCTCATGCACGGTTTTGAATAAGAGAAAGAAGTAAGGAATCCTCTTTTTGACTCTGAATCTCCACTCCAGTTGTACTAGATATTTTCAAATCATGTTGAATATCCAGCTATACATTCCGTACCTTGCTAAAGAAGTAAAGAGAAACAATCCATGTTAGCAACTACGCATTGTTAGGGGGTTACGGGAGTTACCATAGTTAAGGGTCTTCAATGACAATACATTAGTGTTTTAGATGTTATGTTGTTATTAGCATTTATTAGGATACTTACGGGTTTTCCGTTTCATTGTAACCACTAGAAAGATATCTTATTAGGGTATAAATATAAGTTGTAATATCTCAAATATTATAATCGAATATACAGTTTCTACATGGTATCAGAGCTAATGGCTAATGCCAATTAGTGATCCTTCATTTGCCAACATTGAGAGTCGTTGGCTCTCCTCGCCCGAAAGGGTGTTTGCTTCTATATAGTTCTCCATCTTCTCCTCCCTTCTATAATCAGTAATTTTTTTTTTCTCTCTCTGCCGTTGCCATTTCCTTTTATTTTTCAACACTCCGTGTCAAGCTCTCTGCTCATTGATGAGTCTTTATCTTTCACTCTCTCCGTGTCTAGCTCTCTGTTGAAGATTGAGCCATGCATTTCTCCATGTAATATGCTCTCTGTTGAAGATTGAGCCATTTCTCCTTCTTATGCTCTGTATTGAAGATTGAGCCTTCTCCCCCTTGTCAGTTGTCATCGCTCGCCAAGCTTTATCCTAGCCAGCCTTTGTCTCTATCCTATTGTGCTTCACTGTTGTTAGTCCCTTCGTTACGAGAGTTACCATAGTTAAGGGTCTTCAATGACAATACATTAGTGTTTTAGCTGTTATGTTGTTATTAGCATTTATTAGGATACTTATGGGTTTTCCGTTTCATTGTAACCATTAGAAAGATATCTTATAGTTTAGGTATAAATATAGGTTGTAATATCTCAAATATTATAATCGAATATACAGTTTCTACACACAACGCCTAACCAATTCTCTCTCAATATGTTCCTAAAAAAATCCTATTTATTCCTGCATGTGTTTCCTTCCACAAACAATCAAATTGATCTCAGTAAAGCTACCACATATGAAATTGATCACATGTTCAATTTAATTTTGTATAGTTGAACTCAGCTACTTCTGAGGCATTAGGCTAGTTGTGCAGAGAACTAATCTTGTTTTTTTCTTTTTCCCCATCTTCCAATCTGCTGTACAACAGATAAACTATTCTCAATTCTTTGGAAATAATTCGTCTGCTGTCACTTCTTATGCATAATCTCATTCCATATTGCAGTAAGATTTTTAAATCCAGTGATGACATAGAATCAGAGAAGCTTGACAAAGCAATGCGCGACTCCATCATAGCGATTGTTAAGAAAAGAGAAAAGGCTGCAACGACTGGAGAAGAAAACAAATTTGGGAATGATTATCTTGGATTACTTTTGAAGGCTCACCTTGATACCAATGATTTGGTTGATGAATGCAAGACGTTTTACTTTGCCGGACAAGAAACCAGTAATGGTTTGCTTGCTTGGATTATCTTTCTTCTGGCACTTCATACAGATTGGCAAGAGGAAGCAAGAAAGGAGGTCCTACAATTATTTGGCAAACAAAATCCAACACACGATGACATTTCCAAGCTGAAAACAGTAAGAAATTCATGAACTCAACCTATTTCTTTTCTAAGTGGCAGAAATGTTTTGAATAGAGTTTGGAATTTTCTGTTCTTTTCAAATCAATTGTCCTTTTTCATGCAGATGAGCATGATCATCAATGAGTCTCTGAGGTTATACCCTTCTGTTCTTTCCATTGATAGGAAAGTTACAAGGGAAGTTAAACTGGGAAGGCTCATTGTTCCCGCTAATGTTGAATTGCTCATCTCATGTCTAGCACTTCACCATGAGCCTGAGTTCTGGGGGGAAGACGTGCACCTTTTTAAACCAGATCGATTCTCGGAAGGTGTTGCTAAAGCTACAAATAATAACATAACCGCTTTCTTACCCTTTGGAATGGGACCTCGAACTTGCGTTGGTTTCAACTTCGCAGCCATTGAAGCAAAGATTGCTCTGTCAATGATTCTACAACGCTACCAGTTCACCCTTTCCCCTGGTTATGTCCATTCACCCGTTGATTATCTAACAATTCGTCCACAACATGGAGTTCAAGTGATGCTACATAAACTGTAAACTGCAAAGACGAGAACTGGGAATAGATCGGGCACTTGGTGTATGGAAAACATTGAAGCCACTGGATGTGGTACCCTAGTATAAAATAAAAGAGTGCAACTGATTTACAGATTATCAAAGTACTAGTAATACACATGTAAGAGAATGGTTCGTCTTAGCAAAGACAAAAGCCTTAACATGTGAAAGAATAAACTCAGGATGCTTTCAAGCCCATCAGGGATGTAATTGGTTATAACCAGGTTTTAAGTTTCAATAAAGACTCATGGTTGTTCTTATGCTTTCAAGCCCGTCTGGCCCTTACTATGCCCAAATTGTTGTGAAATTTGTCTTGTTTTTGCACAGTTTTCTACCCCCTTTTGATTTGCTTTTCTTTGTTTCCTTCGTCATTTTGTTTTTACTACATGTTGGATTGTTCTTCCAACTATCATTCCGCAAGCTACAATTACCATTCCAATACTTATCAATCACCATTTTCCATTTGTTTTATCTAAAGTAATAACAGTTGTTAGTTGTTTGTACTCCCTCTTCAATGCCTTCAATAAACAACCCCCAAAAACATATGTTCTACTTATAATACTCAAACCAAATTGAAAACTAACAGGCGGACTACGTACTACGATGAGTAAGTTAGAAAAGACCAATTGATGTTAAGAGGAAGGTAGACAAATACGATATAATATATGATACCAAAAGTCTAGGAGGACATAATAAAACATTACATGAGGGGAGGATACTATGTTGCCAAATGTTAGAATTTAGTAGGCGTGTTGTATGTTGCTTTGATATCGTTATTGATTTATGTGATGAAGGAGTTTAGGACAATAGACAATAGTTGAAACAAAGTGATTTTATTACATTGAGGAGAATAATACATGACTTAGTGTAGGCTAATTGGCCTCCTTAGTTTTTTAGCTTATTGGTCATCACACTTGCTTAGATTTGTTTCGACTATTTGGCCCTTCACTTAGATTGGTGAGCTTATTAGCTCCCTTGTAGTTTGGGAGGTTTTTTTATTGGACTCCCCATTTGACTTGGGTTGGGTAGCTTTTGTCCTCCACCTTGTATGACCACATGTATGTCTATTTATAGACATGATCCACCGCCATACCGTGGTCCACCGACTTAGGAAGACTAACCCCAGCCACATATATTTGGCTTTCTCTAGATAGTTCTCCAAGGTCGCATGTGGCTGCCGACTTCCCATCAAGCTTATGGCACTTTCTTCAAGCTTCTAGATTTTTCTATATTTTTGAGCACAAATGTGCATTAATTTCAACACCAAAACAAAGAGCCAATTAGCTAGGTATGAAAACGTACACCAAGAAGTCTGAATGGGGCCCAAGGTGGCAACTTCTTCACCACATGCATCCATCCTGATTCATTCATAGTTTTGACTTCATGCTGTACAATATGTGACCTCAGAACAAGAGCAAGAAACTTAATAGCAGACTGTTGAAATGAGATATTAGATTTAGATAGAGCTAGAGAGGAAAAACTATACGAAAAATATGAGTAGTTTGGGAGGCCTAGTTATCATTCTTTCAAGCTTTCTGTGTGTGTTTCTTCTTCTCTTATCTTTCCTCAACATCTTTTACAAACTATGGTGGGCTCCAACTCGCATACAGAAGCTGATGGCTTTGCAGGGAATCAAAGGCCCTTCCTACAGACCTATCCATGGAAACACCAAGGAAATCTTGAACATGAAAAGGGAAATTATTGGCAGGCCCATGAGTTTATCCCATGACATAGTATCTGCAGTTCGACCTCATGTTCATTCGTGGACCAAGATATATGGTAACAAACCCTTTCATTAACAGTGGTTTTTAAAAAAGTTTTTGTGGCTAAGAATCTTTGGTCATTTTTAATTTAAATGCAATGGCAGGGATGAATTTTCTTCAGTGGTATGGTTCTCAAGCTCAGTTGGTCATTATGGAACCCGAGTTGTGCAAAGAGATACTGAATAACAAAGATGGAGCTTTTGCAAAAAGGAAGCCCCAAAGCTATGTCAAGAAACTTTTAGGAGATGGTCTTGGGACAACCGACGGTGAAAAATGGGGAAAATTGCGAAAGCTGGCTAACCATGCCTTCCATGCAGAGAGCTTAAAAGTAAGTCCTTAATGTTATTGGTATATGAATTCTTGCAGAGAGTGCTGTAGTGAATGTTGTATCAATTATCTATGAATGCGAAAATACTAAAAGATCATGAATTTAAGGTAAATTTTCTTATTCGATGACGGGGTATTGATTTACTAGAGCATGGTTCCAGAAATGGTAGCTAGTGCCGAGACGATGCTAGAGGGGTGGAAAAACAGTGAAGGAAAAGAGATTGAGGTGTTCGAACCATTTAGGATGTTCACTTCTGAAGTGATTTCAAGGACTGCTTTTGGCAGCAGCTACTTGGAAGGACAGAACTTTTTTGAGAATTTAATGAAGTTATCCTTTTTAATATTCAAAAATGCTCTCACTGTCAGATTTCCTGGAATCAGGTAATTTTCCATTTAACGAAATTTTGACTTGGGGAATAACCACATTGAAGAAGGGATCATATTCTTATCTGTGTTTCTTCCCATCTGCTGCACAGCAGAGAAACTATTCTCAACAATATTCTTCAAAGATTATGTCAGTTGCCACTTCTCATGTTTAGGCCTTCATTCAAAATTGCAGTAAGTTTTTTAAAACTAGCGATGAGATCGAATCAGAGAAGCTTGAGAAAGGAATGCACGACTCCATAATAGAGATTGTTGAGAAAAGAGAACAGAAGGCAATGGATGGAGAAGACAGCTTTGGGAGTGATTTTCTTGGATTACTTTTAAAAGCTCATCATGATACCAATGACAGCCAGAGAATTTCGGTTGATGATTTGGTTGACGAGTGCAAGACATTTTACTTTGCCGGACAAGAAACCACTAATAGTATGCTTGCATGGACTGTGTTTCTCCTGGCACTTAATACAGATTGGCAGGAGGAAGCAAGAAAGGAGGTCCTGCAATTATTTGGTAGACAAAATCCAAATCCTGACGGCCTTTCCAAGTTAAAAACTGTAAGAAACTCAAGAACTCGACCTATTTGCTTTCGATTAATTATGTCTGCAATCCTGTTTTCTTTTTAAATATCCAATCATTTATGTTCATCACCGTGCAGATGAGTATGATCATCAATGAGTCTTTAAGGTTATATCCTCCTGTTGTTTCCGTGGAGAGGAAGGTCAGAAGGGAAGTTAAACTGGGGAAGCTCATTGTTCCTGCTAATGTTGAATTGATAATCCCAATTCTAGCAATCCATCATGAGCCTGAATTTTGGGGGGAAGACGTGCAACTTTTCAAACCAGAGCGATTCGCGGAAGGGGTTGCTAAAGCTACTAACAATAACATAGCTGCATTCTTACCCTTTGGAATGGGACCCCGGACATGTGTGGGCTTCAACTTTGCGATCACAGAAGCAAAGATTTCTCTGTCAATGATTCTCCAACGCTACACCTCCACTCCCCGTATGAGTATCTTACAGTTCGTCCACAACATGGGGTTCAGGTTGTGCTGCACTCTCTGTGAACTGTCAAAAAGTACCACTAGAATTGCCCATAATCTTGATCTTGGTGTTTATAGTATATAATATACCGGGCAAGATAGCTTAAATAATATACAGGGCAACCTCTGTTTGAGGCCCTGTTATAAGGTGGCAGTGGCACTATAGCTCCCTCTTTCTCTTTTTCCTTTTTTTTTTTTTCGCTGCTTTGCTGCTTGTAATTACGCTTCTTGTAGAACCATTTGTTGTGTGGTTTTTCGTTTGTTTTGTTCTTTTGGCTTGTTTTTAGTTCTTTGATTTGGTGTGTCTGTTCTGTTGGTTTGGTTGGGTTTGGCTCCCTTTTGGGCTTTTGCCGGTTGGCCTTTATGATATCTTTGTTGACCAAAAAAACAAAAATCATTCAAACAAGCATCGAAATTGTTGTTTGTGTTTATTTTGGGTTTCTTATTTTGTTTCATTTCATTTACTTTTCTTTACTCATTTTTAGTTTATAATTGGATTATTAGCATATTAATTTGTGTCAATTATTAATACAACAATTATATAAATTAAGAATAAGACGAACAACATATTATATCATCAAACATAATTATATCACCAAATATAATCATGCTTTTTTTGAACCCATCACTAAGTATTTGCATAGTTATTCACACCATCTTTTTTTTTTTAATATTTTTTTATACTTCTTATTTTTAAAAATTATTTCTTAAAACATGTTATGGTCTAATTATGATGCGGCTAAGTGCCTCTTTTTAAATGGCACATTGTTTCTTTTTCCTCTTCTTCTTCTTCTTTTTTTCGAATGAAGTAGGCCCATTTCAACCCGGCCCGGCTCGATGGGCTTTTTCAAGCCTGACCCATGAGTCAGGCCTGAGCTTTGAATTTTCTAAAAAAACTCAGCCCGGCGCAGCTCATTATTTTTTCTCTGCTCTTTAAAGCTCAGCTCTGCCCGGCCTAAGCCTATTAAATTTGGGCTGGACTAACTCGACCCAGCCCATTGACGAGCCCTAAATACTTATGTCTACATGCAGCTTAACGTTAGAGAGAGAGAGACTTTACTTTAGTGACAACATGCACGTACTTCAAAAAGGATGTAAAGTTAAATTTCAAATTTTCTTCATCCTAAATATGATTACAATTTATAGCAACAGTGATATTGTTCCAATTTAATTACTTACACAGCTTAATAGATATGATATTTTATTACAAAAGGTATTGGTATTATTCACAGTGAAGTTGTTTTTTACTTTGTTAATGTTTCTGATGTGAGAACACTATATTCTGCTTGATTTTGAAATTACGGAACACAGAATCCTCAAAACTCGAAAGATAATAAAGAAATAGCAAATTGTTGTACAAGAAAGAAAAAACAAAAAGATCGTGACGAACGTTCGAATATGTCAATTCAAATTTAAAACCTTTGCATGCTTTTCATCCTTTCATCCTCTTTATTGTCATCACTCTTCTGCACCTTGAGTTTTCTTTTTTGGCCTTATTTAAATGAGCAGGTCCAGCTGCTAACCCTTGACACATCAGAGCTCCGAAAAATCATGAGTAGTTTCGTAGAAACAGTCAGAATTCAGACTGAGTTTGTTTCTGGCTGGCTGCACAATTATATTATATTACACAATGTACGCCGTTTTGGATATAATATATGTGATGTGATGCAGCTTAAACACTCTACCATATATATATATATATATATATATCGATAGAAATGATGGGAAAGATATGTAATATATATAGGGAATGTGGCCAGCCAGCTAGCAATATTTATCTATTCTAATGGGATTAACCTATAAGAAACTCCAAATCCATGTATGATATGAGCCATAATTGTAATGACATGGGCAAATATTATAATCAACCAACCTTGCATTTGGCTAACGCCATCTGACGAGCGTCAATATAATATCATGTCAAGTTTATAATCTATAATGTATGTCAACTATGGCAACTATTTTTTATCAATCTCTCATATTAAGAGATTCCTCCAAATAATTTTATTTGAAGGACGCTCTTTAAAGTATTCTACGAATTTTTTTTCCAACGATTCAAACAATTTTTTTTTAAGTCTTCATTCATAAATCATCTTTGAAAAAAAAAATTAGACAAATCGAAAACAGTTTAAACATCTAATTTGTTTCCTACAAAATCAATGAACATAGTACTTCAATAAAGTACTAAAATTTTAATAATTTAATTGAGTAGTCAAATGATATCGAATTCAAGTGATTTTTTGCAAAGATGATCTTCGAATGAATAACTACCAAATAGATTATTTGAATTAATGAAATACAATGTATGGTAGGCCTTACAATAGTGTCTCTCAAATAAACTTATTTGAGGGATCCTCAAATAATTATATATATATATATATATAGTCAAAAATGTTATTTTGTTTGTTTCCAATAATTCATAATGCTCTTCAAAGGGATGAAAATATATGTTGATGCACAAATATATCTCTTTTTTAAGACGCTGATACCGATAATAGGGTCGAAGTAATTTCATGAAGTCTGCAATTTGTACCCTCATTATTCTAATATGGTAGCTCTTTCCTGACCGATTCTAATTATTAGAAATTATCGAAAAGAACAAAGAAACACCCGACAGTTAAAATTGAGTATAAATAGATACATCCACAAAGAGGAAAACATATCAATCAAGAAAAAGAAATGAGTTGGTTATTAGGAGACTCGATGTTCACTGTTTCAAGCTCTGTGTGTGTGTTCCTTGTAATTCTTTTAGCTCTCATCAGGATCTTTCGCAAAGTATGGTGGGTTCCAAATCGCATACAGAAATTCATGGGTCTGCAAGGAATACATGGCCCTGCTTACAGACTTGTCCATGGAAGCACCAAAGAAATCATGAGTATGAAAAAGGAAGCTATGAGCAGGCCAAGAAACATGTCACATGACATATTCCCTACAGTTCAACCTCATACTCACCAATGGACCAAAATATATGGTACGTAGAAACTCTTCATTAATTAACTTTGGTTTTTATAAATCTTTAATTAGTTCAAAGATAAATTTTAGTCGTTTTGTCGCAACAGGGAAGAATTTTCTTCAATGGCAAGGTACTCAACCTCAGTTGCTCATTGCGGAACCTGAGTTGAGCAAAGAGATACTAAACAACAAAGATAGGCTCTTTCGAAAACAGAAGTCCCAAGGCTATGTGAAGAAGCTATTTGGAGAAAGTATTTCCATGGCAGAAGGTGAAAAATGGGTCAAGTTAAGAAAGCTGGCCAACCATGCCTTCCATGGAGAGAGCTTAAAGGTAAGCTATTTTTATTATATAAAAAAAAAATATATATATATATATATAGTTTGAAGGGGAAAAGTAAAATTTTCTATCGTGAAAATTTGGTTATTGACCGCAAGATGTTGATGTGTTACTAGGGTATGGTTCCTGATATGATAACTAGCACTGAGACAATGCTTCAAAGGTGGAAAAATCATGAAGGCAAGGAGATCGAGGTGTTTGAAGAATTTAGGTTGTTGACTTCAGAAGTGATTTCAAGGTCCGCATTTGGCAGCAGCTACTTAGAAGGGAAGAGAATTTTTGATATGTTGATGGAGTTGACCTCCGTTATATTCCAAAATGCTCTCAAGCCCAGGTTTCCTGGCATCAGGTAGCTTCTTTTACCTAAAATGATACCAAAAGAATCCACCATGTTTCTTTTAGCTATTGAAATTTTGTGAGCAGCAGAGAAGTATTCACAACAAATTTACACTTCTCATGTTTAGTCTATCATTCAAATTTGCAGTATGTTTTACAAAACCAGTGCTGAGATCAGAGCGGACAAGCTTGAGAAGGGAATACGTGACACCATAGCCGAGATTGTTAAGAAAAGAGAAAACAAGGCCATGAATGGAGAAGCAGACGAGTTTGGGAGTGATTTTCTTGGAGTACTTTTGAAGGCTCATCATGATACCAATGAAAACCAGAGGATTTCGTTCGATGACATTGTTGATGAGTGCAAGACGTTTTACTTTGCTGGACAAGAAACCACTAATGCTCTGCTTGCTTGGACTGTCTTTCTCCTGGCACTCCATCCGGATTGGCAAGAGGAAGCAAGAAAAGAAGTCCTACAATTATTTGGTCAACAAACTCCAACTCTTGATGGCATTTCCAAACTGAAAACGGTAAGAAAGTTAACCAGTTGATTGCTAGCTTATCTAATTACAGGCAGAGGCATTGTTCTCAATTAAGTTTTGAAATCCTGATTTTGTTCATTGTCTAATGCAGATGAGTATGATCATCAACGAGTCTCTAAGGTTATATCCTCCGGTTGTTTCCCTAAATAGGCAAGTTGAAAAGAATGTTAAGCTAGGAGGGCTCGTTATTCCGGCTAACGCTGAATTGCACGTCCCGAATCTTGCATTTCATCATGATCCTAAATTCTGGGGAGAAGACGTGAACCTTTTCAAACCAGAGAGATTCTCAGAAGGGGTTGCAAAAGCCACTAAAAATAACACGGTCGCCTTCTTACCCTTTGGATTGGGACCTCGAACTTGTGTGGGCATGAACTTCGCAAACGCAGAAGTAAAGATTGCCCTGGCAATGATTCTACAGCGCTACAGCTTCACCCTTTCCCCTGGTTATGTCCACTCACCAATTCAGTATATGACAGTTCGGCCACACCGTGGAGTTCAAGTCATACTGCACTCACTGTGAAACGTGAAGACCGAAATTCATTAATTTCAATAAATGTTGCACTTAATTTCTTCCCTCCCCTCCCCTCCCACTGGTTATGGTAGGCTTTTTATTTTTTAGCAAAGACGAAATAATAAATTGAATGATAGCTTTTTTTTAGGGGTAAATCTCACTTTATTTTTTTGAAGTTTACCGACCTTTGGACTTTACTACACGAAGTTTCTTTATATAAGCAACAGTCTAAACTAAGGGTGGGCTCGGTGTGGTTTGGTTTGGTGTTGAGCCAAAATCGCATGCCGAACCGAGAGCCTCGGTGGAGGAAAACACAGCACCGACGCCAAACTAAAGCACCAGAAAATTGGTGTTGTCAGCAAACCAAACAAACGGTTTGGTTCAGGGTCGGTTTCGTTGTCGCGCCGAACAAAGTCGCTTCTAAGGCCTCAGATCTGTGCGCAGCTGCAATGGAGGTGACCGGGAGAAGTAAATGCAGCGATGAAGTCAAATGAGATGACACGAGACTGTGAGAGGAGAGAAGATACAAGGAAAGAGATTCAACCTGAACACAACCTAAACTACTCTAAATTAATATAATCTACATATTGACAAAATTATATATAATCTACATGAGATTCAAATTTAAGTGCAAAAGGACAAACTCACTCTCTTTATATTCGCTTTAATAAGGATTAAAATGCGAAGTTCGATGACAAAAAATGGGAGGGGATGCGTTCAGGAGATTTGGGGTTTGCTACAGAGAACCCCCTATTTTTTAGCCTCCTATAGGAAAATGAGGAAAGCATTACCACTAGGATTGGCCTGAGAAAGCGGCGAGCCTAAAATTAGTCACCCAGAAAAATCTATGGGATAAATGGCATTACAAGACCAAACAAAATAGGCAAGTTAGCATTTGTACATTGAATCAATAATTTCCTTTGCTAACTACGAGAGACTACAACTGATTTACAATATAGATTTGTCACCTGCTAAAATCAGGTTGAAAAAATGCCAATGGATCCAATGACGAATCTGAAGCTATGAGGCAAATGCATCTGCCGCCAGAAAAAGGGTAAAAAAAAATACCTAATCTATTGCAATCAGAAAATCGATCAATTGTGAAACCAAATTCAAACTATGTGTTCAACAACATGAAGTTAATAAAAGTTTTTCCTTCATGCGAGATATAAGCTTAAATTTTTCCTCAGCTTCAACCTGTTGGCGTACGTCAGTTCTTGATGCCCGGTCTGGGTGAAATTTCAGCAATGCCCGTTTATAAGCTGCATGCACCTGAAATCGCCATTCCCATTAAAATAATTTAGGTAAAATATATGAATGCATTGAAACCCACGTAGTTCAAATTTTCATAACGCATTCAACCAAAAACTACCAAGATCCTAAAGCATCTTAGATCAAAAACTTATTTTAACTTACCTCATGTGGCAGAGGACAGAAGCCAGCCCCCACTTGTATTCCTAAGCCACGAAGCAAAGAAGCCATATCTATGCATGTCAATTCCAATCTTTTAAGCTCCTTCCTTATTTCAGCACGAAGTTGGTCTTTCAAATTTAAATTTTCTTCATCCTGAATATGGCATTATTGAACACATCAGAAATATCCAATCAGTTGTACTTGATCTTAAAACAAGATAGAGAGTCCTTTAAACTTGAAAAGTAAATAAATAGCTAACTGTTGTATCGGGGAGAGAAAAAAAGTCAAGACAGAAGGAAAAGCAGCATTCAGGGAAAAAATAAGATATGATGAATGAATATTGAATATATTAATACAAACCTTCTTTTGCGTCTCTCTTACTTCTTCCACACGTTGCTTTTGCCTTCTCTGCATGTCTAATAACCGCATGTTTTCAGCCTTTCTCCTCTTGCGTAATCTTTGTGCCTCTTCTGCCTGAAAAACAGAAATATACTCAATGTCAGGTCAAGTGGTCATTCACTAGAGACTACTGAGCTCCTTTCAAGCTGAATTTGTACAAACAGAAAGCTATTGAAATACACAAAAACTACAAGTAACAAAAAAAATGTATGGATTATAGTTAAAATATTGGTTGGATTATGTCGAGCACGTATAAATACATTGCATATGAAAAACAATAAAATATTGGTTGGAATTTATCAGAACCCCTATAGCAAATCATAATATGTACTAGAGAAGACTGACTATAATACTCATTAATGAATAAAATTAACTTAAACTACCGGTCACAAAAGCCAAGTGGGAAGGTTCAACTCACAAGAAGGTAGAGGGTGAAAAAAGGAAATTGGTGCTTATTTTTGTGTAGTCTAAAGGCCCGATGGACCAAAATAAACAAACATAAACTTAAATATAAAAGTAAAACAAAAAAGCTATGTATGCATGTGCAGAACCTGAATTTGTAAGACTTGCTGCCTAGATGCCATTTCTTCTTCTATTGCTCGCTTGTATTCAGCAGTCTCCTTGAGCTTCTCTCGATCAGTGATTATATCTCCTTCTACAGTGGCTGCATCTCTTTGGACAGGACTCGCATGACCATCTTCAGCATGTAACATATCCCTTAAATCACATGATTCTTTCCCTCTTTCTGAATCAAATCCCCCCCGATCACTACTTGCTCCATTACACGATGTGTTGCACAAAGATACTTCCTCAAAGTCTACCATCACATTCTCCTGGGAACAAGATTTTTCATGGACAGCACCAATTTTGTCTTCAGAAGGGGTGAAACCACAATCCATCTGTGTTTCATCAGATGGTTGTCCAGAACCTGTTTTGTCCTTTTCCTCAAAAGTAGCTCCATTTCTGCACTCCTTTGGCAAATAAGTATTGCAACTAGAAGAAGCATCATGAAATTCATTATTCTTCTTGCCCCTTAATTCAACTCTGTCATGGTCACCAGGCATTTCACCAGAATGTTTGTTTTTGCAGGAAAAATTTTCATCATTCAAAACACTAGGTTTCCCTTTATCATTGTCAGAACCCGGCAAGGAATCAGAAAAACTAGTTTCATCCCTGAACTTTTGCACATTATCCATAAAAGAAGTCCCTGTATGTTCAGATTGTTTACCACCTAGGTCTTCCTTAGACCACAAGGGAGGCTCTTCAGGACTTTGTTCTTCTTCATTATCATTTTGGGAACTCTGCCACTCATAAATAAGAGGATCTTCTTTTGGGACATTTTGATTTGATTCCACAGAACCATCCATTTGGGGACCAAAAGAACTACCCTCCCCGTGGCCATCACGGGTTCCCATAAAGTCTGGAAGGTTTTCCTTTTCATAATTTCCATTTTTTGAACTTGAACAAACAGGGACATCTCTCTGTGCTGTCCTATTCTCTACTTCAACATTAGCATGGGTATCACTATGAGATCCAGATCCACTAGCTTGATCGGCTGAACCAGACTGACCATTATGAACAACATGTTTTCTCTTTTGAGAAGCCTTTTCCCAATGTTCATGAAGCTTCCCATAAGACCCTTCTATTAGCTCGCAATCAGAATATTCACTATCAGATGAATCACTCTCAGACTCAAAACCTAAACCATAACGATTTCTGCCAGGAGCTTTACCAGAGCGGGTTTGCTTGCAACTTGACCGCTTTAATGCAGAACCCTTTTCCTGGACAACCTGACATTCATCGCCATCCGAAGTTACAGAATTCTGCCTATAGTTAGACGCAGGAAAAGAACTTTTGCTTGAGGTGGCATCACTATCCAGGTCTCCAACCTCTTCAACAGAGATTACAGGAGTAACGTAATTATCATCATCATTGTCATCATCTATATAGATGAAACTACGGAATTTAGATTTTCCATCTTTTCTCAATGTACTGGAACCTCGTGACTGTGGCTGTAAAGACTCGGGATAATCAACATCGATGACATCTTCATCTTCAAGATCGATGAACACAACTTTATCAACATCCCCTCTAACCTTGCAACTTTCCACACTTTTCTTCCCAGAACAACTTCTGAGTTCAGAAAATTCTCTTGATGGTCCTCTCCTTCTCATCTACTTCTGCATCCAAAAAAAATGAGAGAAATTTGAGTTCCCATCACATACATTTCAGCCTTCGTAGCTGATAAAATAAATATTGGCAATCAAAATCCAAAAATTATGTACTGTAAAAGCATAATAATAAATGGAAATGGAATCCTTTTGCACAAAGGTGATAATTTCATAGGACTCATCTAAGCATGCTTATAAGTATAGAATTCAATAGACTCATTTAAACATGTTTATAAATATAGAATTCAAACGGAATCAAAATTGGGATACCCTGCATGCTACTTAGTTGAAAGAAATTAGCGAAAGACAAGGAATAATTGTCAGGAACTTAGATAAAACTTTCATGGGCAGATACCGCTTTTCATCTCAAGTAAGTTTCATCAGGTAAGCATTACTCCTAAGAAATCTGAAGATCCAAATGGATGAGCCTTTTAGGACCAGTTTACTACAACCAATTCTCATCAAACAAACTTTTAATGTGTCTTTGTGTTTGTGTCTGTAATTATGATGGAAATAGGTCATCAAAGCACACATTCATCTTTAACTCGCACAAATGCCACACCAATGGCTTGCAAATACAAAAACTCTTCACCTAAAAATCTGTTAGGGCTTGTTTTCAGTCGAAGCAAATATATTATAGGTGAATAACACCAATGAAATCCCGAATACGCAATTGAAACAACGACCCAATAAAGTTTACGCAACTCTTACTTGAAACCCTAAAGAAAGAAATCAAATTTCAACCATTTTCAATGAAACAAAGCATAATCGCACCGAAGGAAATTGCATAACAACCAAACCCTAAATTCAATCAAAATCTCAGGAAGACCATTGAATAAAATCATTTATCAGAAATCCATATATTGACGCGTAAACATAACGAAGACACAGAAATTCAAAAATCATAATCGAAGGCTGAAAATTGGACAAATATGCAGAAAATCAAATGTAAAAATGGACGACTGAACCTCACCTTTCCAGGAAAAAAACAGGGGAAAACCCTAGCTCTTCGTAGACGAAGCCACCACAGCGAAATACCCAAAGAAAAAGAGAGCTTCAGAGAATAAGGAGGATAGCGAAGTCGATATTTCCCTTGGGAGGGTTTTGAAATTGAAACCAAAATGTTTTGGCACCAAACGGACGAGCGAAATCAATTAAGGAAGACATGAACAGAAAAAAAAAATAGATAAATAAATAAAAAGTTGAATATGAAAAGATATTGCGACTGTGGTAAGTTCCGTCAGCCGTGACGGTAGCAAGCCTCACATACGAACCACATTCACGCTTTATAGTCAACGAGGCGTCAACGAGTGTGTTGATTGGTCTGTGATTTCCTACAACCTTACGCTAGCATTTTTGTTTCCGCGGGTTCTTTTCATTACTGCGCAGTGAAGACTTGGAATTTTTGCCATTTCTAGAATAAGACTTTGTATTTATTTCTGGTGGGACCAGCCTGCCAGGGCCATAGACTTAATCCTCAAGTTTTTTATTTTATTTTAAGTGTTGTTAAACGAATTTTAAAATTAATTGTGTATATCTTATTATTAAACTATTTATTGAATTATTAATTTATCTTAATATAAAATGACAAAAATGATATATTAAATTGTAAAATAAATATAATTTTAATAAGCACACTCTACACATCATATTCAATCTTAATCAAATGTAAAGAAATTTTCGTATTGCTAAAAAAAGTTCATCACAAATATAATTAAATGTAGCTAAATATGATTACATCGGCCCATCACTTTGAGGCGTTCATTGGAGATCAGACAATGGTGAGGATTATTTATAGCAAAAAAAATGTTGATAAGGCCCAATGTATTGAAAGTGAAACGAAAAGGAAGATAAGCCCAAAGTTTTGGTATAATAATTTAGGCCTGGATCAATTTGCAAGATGATTGATGGGCTCGCAAGTCACAAGACAACGACAAAGATCAACTCAACTGAACTGAACTAGCGGCAGGACTTCTTTTATGATCTGTAATTCATTGGCAACCATACAAAGAAAATGTACTCAATTTACAGAGCCATGGGAGGCATGTATATAAGTTTATATGACATACAGGAGATAAATCCCAATAACACACATGTGCCATAGAGCATTTTAGATAGCATAAACTTGCCATAGAATATAAACCTTGTGAAAAATTCAGTAAGATTTTGTGGCAATTAATTTAAGGCAGCAACACTAGAGGGGAGAGTAGGGGAATGGGATCTTTGCTCTGATAGAAGGAATTCAATGAAGAAGAAGAAGAATTTGAGCTGCTCCCCACCGAGTTCTGCAAACCGCTGCAATCCGAAGAGACATTGTTATTAGGGTTTAGCTGAAGAGGACAAGGAGCTCGTCTTTGCAGCCGATGACTCAAATGCCTTCTGAAAATATTGGTGTCATTTTTGTGAGCACAAGTTTGGAATCCTGGAAACTCAGCACCAGCACTGTCCTCCATTTGTGTGTGTGTTGCCCTGCCTATATTTTAAGTCATTTGGATCTCCCCATCTTAGTTATATAACTTTGAGAGAGATCTTAAGCATTATTTAATTTAGCTATGAATCATAAACGCTACAATAAGATTAGTATGTCACTGTGGACTTTTTTTCAAATGTTTCAACAAATGTCATTCATGAGATCGGTGGACTTTGACAGCCGGATAAACACTAGGCACGGTGCCACTTGGCCGATGGGGACTGGTCCGGCTAATTGCCAACGGGCCCTCATAGTGGTTTGCCAAATATTACTAGAGAATGGGACATCATGTGCAAATGTGCAGAATTTGCAAAAGAGTTGCATTGCCCAACGCCCACTCTGTCATGTGAGGAGGAATAAGTGCACATCTTCAAAAGCCATTGTTTTCAGTGACAGGAAATTCAGAAGCACATGATAGTTGAATTACTAAGTAAATAGTACATGCTCTCTCTCTCTCTCTCTCTCTCTCTCTCTCTCTCTCAATGAATTTTATTGGTTTGTTTAACCAAAGAGAAAGAAATATCTCAAGGTCTGCAGATGAATTTGGTTCACAGAAAGCACTGTTGGTTATATTTTATATGTACATGCATGGTCATGACTCATGATTCTGCAATAATTGTTATGCCAACCTAGCTGATAAAATTAACTAGTGTTTTAGACTATTGATTGTCATTTGTTTTTCAAAAGAAAAAGAGTGGACATGTTAGGAGCATTGACTGCTGACTGATCCAAGCACAAGACAGAACAAACAGCAGTGTGTCTGTTTTGTGCAGTTCTGCATATTTTGGTGTTTCTTTGTCTTTGCAAGATGCATGTATATATTGATATATCATTAACTGCATCTTCTGTCCTCTGTAGAAATTATGGACATTCATTTTAACTAAAGAGACACAGAAACACATTGGTCGATTTAAAGAGAAGAGAACATGGAAATGCAGTATTTGTACACTACTTGTACAGTTATACTGTGCGTACCAGTCTATTTCAAAACGTACTTTTTTATTATTATTATTATCATAAATAAATGAAAAAAAAAATCAATCAATAAAAGAAAGAAAAAAAAAACTGTAGCTTGACAGACAATGACAATGAAAGACAGTCAACAACAAAAAAAAACAATCAAAGGCCTAACATTATGCTATGAATATAATACCACCAATTATCATGTTACTTTTGGGGTACTTCTTATCTATCTTTTTCGGGTCAATATGAGTTATCTCTTGATTTCTTGTTGAGATAGCCAAGTGGCTGCACCCCATGATTGTTGCACACCAGCCAATAATGGTGAAGGAGGATATACAATTATTGACATTGGTTCGAAAGGAGGCTAGAAATTCAAAAGAGGGCGCATTTCCTCCCTGCCTTTTTTCTCTTTCCATGTATTTGTTGGCCTTTTTATGCTTTTTGTGCTTTCAAATCACGCCCTTCCTCAGCTCAGCATTTGGTCAAAAGGAATGTTCAAATTGATTTGGATTGGACTAGAAGGATTTTCGTGGACCATTCCAAGTTCCAACCAGAAATGGGTCCAAACCAGTTCCATGAAAACGTTTGGAAAGTTTATAGAACATACATCCAGATTCTTTCAAGTTTCGCCCTAACCGAGAAAGACTTTCATGCAACGGAGATAACATTTTTGCTATCTCCGATTAATAATGCATTTTTCTGCTTGCGAAGGTTTCAAAGAGTGAAACAGACGCAATTTAGAAACAGCGCAGTGTTGAATAAACCAAAATGGATTTAGACAACCAAACCAGTCAATAAGTGCCTGTTTCCATCTGATAATGATGGGATGCTTAAATAAAATGAGAATCTCCATAAACCTGTGTCCAATGGGAAATTGAGAGGTCAATGTTTGGTACCCTCTCACCCACCAAGAAAGAAACACAACTTTGAATGGAAACTTTTTCACTCAACAAAAAGCAGCCTTCCATGCAGCCTCTCATATTGGACCACTGTTTTATTATGTCAAATTGTCAAGAAAATTTAAGTCATTGGACACTTTATAAGAAATCAGAACCCCAACCAGATTTTTTCTGAAAAAACAAAGGAGATTGATGGTAATATAAGGCTACCTACCAAAACATTGGATAAGAAATATTATGTACAGAGTTCTCTGATCATTTCACAAATCAGATTATCCTTCTTTGCTTTCTTGACCCAACGTTAGGTTGGATGACAGTAACAAATAAAGGCTAAAGGGGAAGCTGATAGGGGCGGTATTTACAAACACTTCACTCTATTGCTTTCGTTTACCAATGGCTGTGCTTCCTAAGTTTAAGTCAATAAACCACTAAAATGGTCTACTTTGGTGAAGTTGGACTAGAGCGGGTTCTTATGTACAAGAGGAGGCGAGATGTATGACCCATTCACCAGTTCTTCAAGAATAGGACCTAATCAATTTAAAATTGACAAAAGATCTGGACTTGAAGAGACCCCCAAAGAGGAACCTGGTTGGAGATTCCTCAGAACCTGGTTTTGGGTCTTCAGGGCTGCCTTTCACTTTAAGTATGGTCTGCCCAATTACTTCCCTGATTGCCTCTATGGTCTTGGAATCAACAGGGTAGCCTGATGCATCACGAACATAGAACGTATTAACAGCTTTGCCTGCTTTGGTTGCCACTTCTGCTCGGGTTACGGTAAGGCTATTCTCTCGAAAGATCCGAGTGACATCAGATAGCAGCCCAACTCTGTCAGTAGTGCAGAGTTCTAACTTCAAACCCTGAACGAGGAAGAAACAAATTATTTGTCTACATATCAATGGAGCCTCTCAAAAAATAATTAACAACTCAATAAAGTACGTTAAACATTACTCTTAACCTAGGGACGCATTGTTAACAGAATCAAACAGGTGAATGCAATAGAACATAATGAGACAAAGGAAATTCGTAAAACAAAAGGTCGACATCCATGTTTTTATAACGGCAATTTGACTCATAATCATATAAGTGCAACAACTAAACTACACATTAGAAAATCAAAATATCCATCACTACTTGTCATGCATTGGAGCTATTAATACCATCAAATGTATACTTTTGGTCACCATAGGAGGCTTTCCAGCCAAACCACAAGCAAAAAAAACCAAAAAATTGAAATAAAATAGTCAGCTCACCTCAGATACTCTTCTCTCAATAGCTGCTTCAAGGCATTGTATCACTCTTTGTCTCTCTGCATCTGATTTCACAGGGGATCCATCTATATGCCTGATATAGTATTCCTAGAAATGCATACAAACAATAATTAGGAAAGCCAACTCTAACCAAATCAAATCCAAGTAAGGCTCATCTCACCTCGCAGCCCAAGAACACAATCATATGCAAGTTGAAAATGTGAAAATGGCATACCTGATAAGCTTCTGGACCCTCAGCATCAATACTTGCATGAAAAACCACATATTGCATGTCTGTCAAAGTGCAAACTGTATCGAAGAGAAGCTTTGGCCTATCTTTACTCCGAATAGTCACCACCGAGTAGTCTTTGTCCTGCCAATTAACAACATTCACATTTGGTCTTTGGTTGTCATCCAAGAGACCATCATCAACTCGTTCATAATCCCTATCTGCAAACATCATTTGGTGAAGCCTTCTTTCAGTGTGTGTAACAGCGTGAGATACAACAGTCCTAGCTCCCCTGGTTTTGTTGCTGCCCTTAAGCACATTGCATAATAATTCCTTAATCCTGGCTAACCTCTGAGGATCAGTAACTGCCAACCCCGTCTCCTCATCAGTAACATGCATCACTGACGCAGCCCTTGTGTTGTGCGTCCAGACTTCCGCACTCACTACATTGCATTTGAGATTGGTGAGGACAGCACTCACTTCAGAGAGTAATCCCGGTCTGTCACTTCCAGTTAGCTCAATTGCAGTATGGTCCATTGATTGTTTAACCCCAACAGATCTCATGGAAGATGCAAAGCAAGCCTCCGGACCAAGAGACTGAAAATAAAGTGAGAAATTAGAGGCTTTTCATATCAAAAACAACCAAAAATAGGAAAAACAAACGTCAAGCACAACTCACCTTTTGAATATACTCCAGAACCCCTTCATCTGTAACCTTGTTTCCATCTTGATCGGTGACATTAAAAACTGGTTTAAAAAATAAATCACGCAATTAGTTTCTAACTCCAGAACAAAAGAACACTAAATTTTTACACTGATAAAAAGGTCTTCCACTACTAACAGTCACAAAGGTAATAAAAGGATTGTTACCGTCCATGAACCAGCCACCATCCGAAGAGATATACGCTTTGGTTACGATAAGGTTAAGATCAGTTAGAACTTGTACAACTTCCAGAAGTATCCCATACTCGTTTGCACTATCCACCTGCATCAGAAAACTAGAGTAAGTACAAAACTTCCGTAACACGGAGGAAAAGGGCCACGCTAAGAAAGACACATAAAACGATGAGAAATGAGAGCCGTACCCTTATCACCGTAGCATTCTTGCAGGCTTTGTTATCAATTACAACCCTGACAAAACAGAAGTGGACAAAGAGATGTAAATCTTAAGATGTGTATCGTACAAGATTATGTTACTTTGAGTCACCTTGAAGAAAGTGAGATTGCATACCTCGGTGGGTTCATTCTCCGGATGAGTTTCTCATATTCATCATCCATGTCATGTGAAAAGCTCATGCTAACCTCTGAAGAAAACCCACACCCAAAAAAAAAAAAACAAAAAAAAAGGAAAAATATAATTAGACAAAAAGCTAGGAGAACAAAAAGAACCAATTGGAGAAGAAGAGAACCATTGTAACCAATCAAGAAAAGATACTTGTAAATTCCAAAGAATATAAGGAAATGAAAAAAGCCATCGAGTAAATCATTTGAAGGACTTGTTCACAAAGAAAAGATAACTCAAAAATCCAAACTTTCTCACAAAACACAACTTTCATAAGCGGGCAGCAGACAGAACCAAAACCGAGAACAAAGAACTATTTTTACAAATTTCCATCACCCACTTCACAACTAAACAAGCCCCACCCCCTTCTCCAAGACAGGCACAAAGGACCCAAAGCAAAAGGCAAACCAAGGAGGACACTGAAAATCAGGAAGCACACAGAACCCGACAGACACCACAAATCGAAGAACAGAGTACGAGAAACCAAAATGAAATGGGAAAAATAAAAACAGCACCTACCCATTTCAATTGCTGAGGATTAGTGAATCTCTTACACCAAAAGCTTTTTCCTTTTCTTGGTTGTCTAAAAACAAAGGAAGAGGAGAGAACAAAGGCTTGGTATGTATGTAGAGTACACAGAGAAAAAAAGCCAAGTGGTATATGTTTATATACAGAAAGAAGATCTTAGAATCTTAGGCTTTCCTGTTCTTGATCTCTCTCACTAAGGTAACAAATAAACTATAATAATTCTATACCTTTAAAGAAAACCCAAAATACAAAAATTTAAAGCCAACCCATTAAAACACTCTCCAAAATCAGACAACCCCCGACACAATACTCCAAAAACCTGCAAGTTCAAAAAGTACCACAAAACACACTCACACAGTTTTCCCTGTTTCTCTCTCTCTCTCTCTCTCTCTGTGGCATGCCCTCGCTTTCTTTATATGGCCTCTCTATGTCTCTCTCTGCCACTTTCCAAATCCAATTTTCTCTATAAAACGAGAATAAAAATGACCCCGTAAAAAGAAAGTTTCCCAAAAATACAGAGTGGGGCTGGCTTGCTCGCTTGCTCGGTCAGGGCCCTGGCTGACTCTTTGAATCTGATAAACCAACTACACCCGCGCACTTTAGCAACGACCTCCACTTTGAGGGATTGGTGACATGGCAGCGTGCTAAAGTGCGCCGTTGGGGTAGGACCAGGTTCGGTAAACGGTAAAACGATAAAGCTATGGGGGAAAGTAATAACCTCTTCGACTCCGAGGTTTGTGGAGCTGACACGTGGAAAATCAAAGGGATGCAGTCAATGGACGGACCATGGTTTGGTCCGGTCTGGTCTTCAACTTTTACCAAATAACGGTTTGTCCTTGTCGCCTTTTAGGACTCGGTTAAATTTTGTCGGAAACGCACCGTTTTGGTCAATCTTTTTGGGCTAAGTCGGTAACTTTCTTTTCAATTAATATGTACGATTTAGCATTTAAGTGAGTTTTTAATTCTTGGTTAGTGAAACCGAAAAACGATGGAATCTGAATCTGCATCTTTTTTTTGTTTTGGGGGGGGGGGGTTTCAATGGTGAGACTAGTTAATTAATCTGCACATAATCTCCTTTCTTATTACTTGCCTCTTGGGCTTGCCCATGGGGCACTGTTAAAAGTTTTCACCCCAACTCTAAATGCTGGTGAATTTAAATTAAATATGAAAATACTTAATTTCATAACGAAACCAAATGGAGAAAAAAAAAACGCAAATTCTCTAACAAATCATATATAACGCCTAATTGAAAATCATTGCAGTGAAGTAATTGCTCCATGGGTTAGGAAAACTAACAAATACAAGGTGAAAAGTTTCTATAAGAAAATCCTATCAGATGACTCGGATCCATAAATATAACCAAAATCTTCCCAATTCACGTCCATTGAAAAATCTTGCAAATATTTCAACCTTTTTTTGCACACATGAAATATATCTAGGATTTTAACTTCTTCTTCTCCTTTTTTGGCAAAAAAAGTCAAAATATCGTGTCTCTCCATCATACAACAAATTAAAGAACTCGATAAATTTAGAGTAAGTGTCATGACGAATAAATTTGATTTTGGATAGAAGAAAAAGGACACTTGTTATTCTTATTATATGATTTTTTTTATTTTTACTTTGAACAATTAAGTGGTTAATCATTTTGTTTATGATCTGTTTCATGTGTAGAATTAGTTGGCCTGTGTATGCAATATTCATGGCATAAGCCATAAAACTAACCCCACAACATTGGCATGATCTTTAATTTCATTATCCAATGGCCATCCCAAATATATAATAAACAGCATTTCTGCACAAGTGGACTGCTTGCTTCTATAGCGCAAGGATTATAATTTTTTTATTGTTTAAATTTTGTTATGGGTGACATGGTATGGTAGTGACGGAAAACAAAATAGAGTCCAAGTCCCCTCTATCCGCGGACTAAATAAACCTAGCTACTATATATTCATTAACATAATTGGAGATTCAGAATCAACCCAATCATGAATCATCACGATTCATAAGTGGTGTCCCATGCATGTATTTGTTAATCAAAATTAACTGTTTTTTTAACAATCGACAGTTTAAAACTACACTAATTTATGTGCGAATAGAAATTCAATCTTGAGTACAAGAAAAAGATACAAATACAATTTACATTTACAAATATTATATAAAAAAACAAACACAATAGCGTATTTAATTGACCAACTAATTGAATCTACGTCTGCAAATGAAGCTAAACTCTAATATAAAGTATAGTATGTATCACCAGACCGCTCAGTCTAATAAGCATAAGTTGGTGGCCTTAAGAAAACTTTGGAAAAACACAAAGGAGAAAGAAATTTTGTAAAAGAAGTCAAAATGGACAAAATTGCCCTTATTTATTTTTGGATTTCCTAAATAATCATTTACATTTGCATGTTTTGATTTGAAAGTTGAGAGGTTTTTCTGTCTTTTTTGAAAAAGCTTTGACTTTTTCCAAAAGTGAAAAAAAATAAAATTGCTAAAACCTAAATTTACTATGAAAATAATTAGGCCGCCGAAATTGTAAATTCATATATTTGTGTGAATATTCATATTCTTATTCATAGGATAATGTTTTTGGTGGATATGCGTGCCCCCCCGTCCACAAATCCCACATGGTTAGGCAAACTGCAAGCCAAAGCATATAATAATACGTTGTATTAGTAGAGTATATGAAATAATACAAATATTTATCACTATACGATCCTCCCTCTCCCTCTTTGCCAAAATATTGCTTGTAAATATAAAATTAGAATATTAGAATTGAGTCAATACATTTGGTGCGCGCGCACATACGCGTGTCTTGTGGTTCATGCCGGCCTCATGCTCCTCGCACGTGGCCCCATCTGCCACCTCTTGCCTTATATATTTTGAATATCAATTGTAACATATCCTTACGCCCACCACAGACAGCCAAAAAGCTTCAACCCATAAAACTTTTAGCAACATTAATGTCTTGTTGTATAGCAAGAAGTTTGTAGCTCGACTGGTTATCAAGCGTTATTTATCTATCCTCGATGTGCTTTTGGTATTCTGACAATCTGCCCATTTTTCAGGAATGTGCCCTCACCTTGCATAAATTCATTGATAATGGTAAATTGGGTGTGAATTTGGTGGCATCCACCTAAAGAGTGGCCTGAGTTGATGGGTATATATAAGCACACCATGAGTGAGGGCGATAGGTGGTGCATGTAGTGGTGCTACATCTATGCGAAGGCCACTTTATTACCACAAAACTTACTAAGGGGAGCTACCATTTGTGACTTTGTTTTGTTTAAATGTCCACCCAAAACCCACCACCTTCGTCCATAAACACCCGACTTTCTATACAATCATAGCTAGAGCCTAGAGCTTATAGATAAAGAGACGGCCCCATAAACCCTAAGACCCAAGCCAGATGAATAACTCATCTCGGAATTTGTCTTCTTACGATTGACCCCCCACCACTATATATTGTGCCCCATTTGAATGGGTGACCACCCCCGTGAATTGAAGAAACCTTTCAAGTGGTGTCCTAATCACACACATATCTTGGAGATGACTTGCTTTCCAAGTGCCCTAAATATCTTATCTTGTAATGTCTTGGGAATTTATGCATGTACGCAATTGTTTGAACCAAATTAATTTTTTTCATATTGTAATGTCATTAATATTTATACAGCATTATCATTTCATTCATGCCTACTTATCTTGATGAAATCTTCGTTGAATCAAGAATCTAAACTTGGATGATTAGGATAGTATCAATGAATAATCAAGTTTTAAGTTAGAATAATTGAAAGTAACATAATTAACGAGCAAATCACGTCCAATATGTCTAAATGCTTAGTTACATGAGTTATTCATAATGAATCATAACATTTTTAAATTTATTAATCTATACACCATGATTCTTTATTTTTATGATTGAATCGTATATATCACTCTTCTACATTGTTAGTTAGTCTTTCATTTTTATACGTGCACCAATTTGATTATCACAATCATGATACATGAGGGTCTCTACCCAAACAAATTCATGGATCACGAGCCTCTACATTTAGAGTTTAAGTGTTTACTTGCATTTAGCAAAATATTGACAATCATAATAATCTAACCATTTAAAGATATGACATGTCAACAACATAATTATTTAATTTTCTTTTCTTCATAAAATTATTTAAATTTAACAATTATTTGTTTTATAAAAAAAAAAACATAAAAGAAAAATCCACGAGGTGAGGGGAGAGGGCTATAGGTTTCTTCACGAAAGGTGAGGTGTAATTAAGAGGGGGCTGCGAGGAATTAATACATAGAAAGATTATCAAAATGGGAAGGGGTTGCTGGCATTACAGAGAGAGAGAGAGATGATGATGAATGGTATACATAGTGGCTTGGGTGCTGTTGGGGTGGGGTAGAGAGATGATAGATTAGATGGTATGTTTGCTTGGGTGTGTTGGGGTTGGTAGGGATAGATAGGAGTGGGGAGGTGAAGTTGCATTCTGGTTTTTTAATTTTTAGATTAGGTGACCTTTTAACCTTATTTTTTTAGTTTTAAATTGAATTTTAAAATATTTGAAGTTATTGATTTTTTTATTATTAATTCTTTAAGGTTATATGTTTTTTTTTTAAAACAGTTAAATTATTATTATAGTTAAAATTTTACTAAATGCGAATAAATACGTAGACTCATGGACTCGGATCCCAAATTCATATGACAATGCTCGTCTTTGAATCAAATCTTACTGAATGTGACTAGCATTTTATTTTATACTATTCAATTAATAATAGATATCGCTCGTCCTTCATCATTATCAAGCACAGTCCAACCACCGTTAACCACTAACTACCATTCTAACTGTCTCCAATCGCATGAAAAGGTTAGAAACCCACCGTGTTACGTGACACGGTCTTTAACAAAGTTCAATCAATCATCAAAATCCTAACCATGGTTAATTTTAGGTCGTTCCTACTTTTGTAGTATCGGTCAACGGTCAAACGGCCAATAGAAAAACACCGACCACTTTGTTAGAAAAAAAAAGTAGGGTGTTTTTTTACCTTTTATATAAACACCTTTTTGGGGGGTCGTACAAACGCACGTGACAAGAGGCAGACCAGTGAGCAGATTTGCATATGGAGCTGGCATGGCAGTCACGCACGTAACACGTGCGTGTCACTATCTTTAGCTCCTTTGCCCCTTTTAAATAATTTTTTATTTTGAGGAAAATAAAAATAAAAAAATAAAATGGGCTTTTCGAGGGCACCAAGCGTCCCGTGGTACGTATCCAGTTCATGTCCACGTCAGAAAGCCGAAAAAAGGGGAGGGTCCGAATCCGATTCTTTTTGGTTCGGATAACCGGGTTTGGGACCCCATTTTCAGGAACAGGGTCTCCTTGCTGCTGGCCTATATAGCCCTAGTCTATTCTTAGGTTAGGTTGACAAGAGTTTTTGTTTGTATTTGTGAATAATTAGATACCATATTTTAGTAACGCACCAACATGATTATTCAAACATAATTA